GGTATAAGAGGCTCAACATTTAAGTGGATTCAAAGCTATTTGTCTAACAGAAAGCAATTTGTATTACTAGAACAGTCAGGAGCCCTCGATATAATGTGTGGAGTTCCTCAGGGTTCAATCCTAGGTCCATTATTGTTCTTAATTTATATTAACGATATGCATAAAGCATCCCAAAAAATATCTACAATTATGTATGCTGACGATACAAATTTATTTTTTAATCATCCTAATGCAAAGACTTTGTTTGAAAATATGAATATTGAACTTAAAAAATTCAACTTCTGGTTCATAGCAAATAAATTATCCCTAAATTGTCAAAAAACTAGTTTTACCCTTTTTCATAAAAAAAAACAATCAATTAATCTCCCTTTAAAGCTTCCTAAACTGCTTATAAATAAAAATGAAATCAAATGTGAAAAATGTACAAAATTTTTGGTAGTGCTTTTTGATGAAAATTTGTCATGGAGAAATCATATTGGTCTCCTTGAAACAAAAATGCCCTCTGTAATAGGCGTTTTGTATAAGTCGAGACCTTTTCTCGACTTATACAAAACGTTTTTTTTTATTGAATTTTTATTTTATTTTTAAAAATTAAATTGTCTTTATAATGAATGACTATAGGGGCTCTATGAAAAGGTTGTGATGTTAAACACATCAATATACATAGTATAAAATAAAAAATTGTTATTGTAACTGTTTAATCAGCAAAATAAAAGTATATATAATAATAACCAACAATCTCTAACAAACTCAAACAATCTCTAACAAACTCAAACAATCTCTAACAAACTCAAACAATCTCTAACAAACTCAAACAATCTCTAACAAACTCAAACAATGTCTAACAAACTCAAACAATCTCTAGGGCATTTAGACCACAGTTCAGGGTCATTACCTGATGGTTGTTGAACAATTTGTTCTTGATTATAGTTATAAAATTTACATTATTATACGTTTTAATATCACTTTCAGACAACAGTCTTTTATCTGTATGTTTTTGTTCTATATCAGTAACAGTTGTTACCGTTAAGGAACTTTCTTCAATGTAAAAACCTGTGCATGAATATACCTAAGAAATATAATATCTGAAGATATATTTTGCTGATTCTCTAAAGGACGATTAACAGCTTCGCTTCTTATACGATATAAAGATCCACTTTGATTTTTTTTGTCCAATATTATTACTATCGCAGGAGGGTAGCAGTAACAGTATCGAAAACAGCTAAACTGATTAATCTTGAAAAGGGAATTTCCGGAATAACATCGAAATAGAGAATAACATCGAAATTGTGAAAAAAGGAATAATATTAAAAAGGGACTTTTCGGAATAATATCGAAAAAGAAAACATTTCAAATTTGTTAAATAAGGATTAGTATCGAAAATCGTAAAAGCAGAATAATATCGAAACAGCTCAAAAGAGAATAAAATTGAAAAAAGACTTACCGGAGCAATATCGAACGTGTGAATAAAGGAATACTATCGAAATTTCAAAAAACGGAATTAGATCGAAATTGTAAAAAAAGGAACTATATCGAAACGGGACTTTCCGGAATTATATCGGAACTGTGAAAAAAGGAATAAAATCGAAAAAGGACTTTCCAGAATAATATTGAAAAGGTGAATTTTAATAATAGGTTTGAAAACTCCAAAAGCAGAATAAATAGACGGCAGTTTTTTTGCGGTTTTTTGCGGTTTTTAATTAAAGTGTAGTAATTACACTGTATAATTGTATAATATAAACAAAAAGCTCTATTAGTAAAACAAAAAATATTGAATGTTGTGTTGATGGCTATTTATAAAACGATTCAAAACAAAATGTATTGATTTTATTTACAGTAGGCACCTCACACGATTTTACTATTACAATTATCTCTTGTTATAATTAATACCATTATATGGGGATAATGAAGAAGCTTTCAGAATGTGTTCATTTTTTAAATTTGGATACTGGTTCCCAAGTTATGACAATCTATGTTGGGCTCAATAACGCCTATTTCGCGTCAAGATTTGTTGAGTTTTTCTTAAGGAATTATGGCACTAAATTTTGATAATAAATTTATTTTTCATATGCTATCAAGAAGGAACTTCATTGAAGTACTTATGCTGAATTATTTTTATTGTTTTCTTTTTTACTAAAGCATTCAATTCTACAAATTATCATTCTCATATTAGGGGCCCCTAGGTAAGAATTCCACTCCTTGTTTACCCATTTGGGGCAATTGGATCAAAAGCTATAAAAGCTTCGTTAAAACCGTAAAAATTAACTTTAGATTAAGAAATAGAGTTTTTTCAAACGGTCATAGTAAACAAATTCATTAACATTTATAAATAACAAGAAAATAGGTAAAAATATTAGGTCTAATTTCTTCTACAGAAATTTGATTGTTCTTGGCCCAATCGCCCATTCAGGACAATAAGGTAAAAATGTAAAAATACACAAAGCCCGTTTTCCCATTTTGGGGCAAATTGGGCCAAGAGTAAAAAAAACTCTGTTAAAACTACAAAAATTAACTCAAGTTAAAGAAAAAGATCTTTTTCAAACTGTCAGAGTAAAGATTCATTTACATTTATAAATATCAAGAATATATGTAAAAATCTACGAAGAAACATTTTTCTTATTTAGGGCCGGGAGCTATGACGTTAAACTTATAACAATGAGCAAAAAAAAATTCTGAAAATTTTTCAGTAATAGCTCAAACCCTAAATAAGTAAAATTTTAACTCTATTATATGAAGTGCACCACCAATTTTATGAAATATCATGCAAATAGTTTTGTCGTTACATGGAAATGTGAACGAAGAGTCACATTATACCCGAACTTCATCATATTTTAATTTTACGCGTTGCAACGCGTTAAAGCGAAGTATGATAAAACTCACAAATCCATGTTAATAACAAAACTATGAACATAATATTTCACAAAATTGGTGGTGCACTTCATAATGTACAGTTCAAACTTTACTTATTTTCAGGCTTCTTTATCCGCTTAAATTGCAAATCTAATCCAAGTGACGCAGTTATAAATAATTTTATTTATCATTTGCAACAACAATGTTGTTTTTATTATAGATAACGTGTTGTATCTTAGAAATATTAGTGACATCTTTTTGAAATAATAAAAAAGATCGCCTTTGTTTAAATGCCTGAAAACATTTGCCCTTTAGTGATTTTTTAACAAAATGATTTTAGGCCCACTGCACAGTTGGCCAGAAACATGAAAAAGTGATCAAAATTAATAACTACATATAAAATCAATTTAACAATATTAACATTATAAAATCAATTTAACAATAATTCTATTTACTAAAACATAATATTACAACCATTAAAATTTTCTTCAGGTTACTCACTTTCAAAATTTTTGAATTGTTAAAGGTTGGTTTTGCTCATTTTTTTAATTTTTGCTCACTGCTGTCCCACTGGGCACTGCCTTGAATGCTAACTAAATATTTTATGTAAGTAAAACATAAAATTCCAAAAAGAACTATTAAACACTTACTTTATAAAAAAAAAATTATCAAAATATATTAGTGAATAAAATATATGAAGATTAGTAAATTTACTAATCTTCTAACAATTTATTTTATGTATAGAAGGTTATTGATTGTAATTTTTATAAAAAGTACAATCAATAACCTTCTATAAATATACAAGCCCGTATTGTAAAGATTTTGAGGTTAGGTTGGTCGTTTCGGAGAAAATTGTGGTCAAGAATAGAAAATCTTAATTAATTTTTATAACGTGAAACTAAGAGCATTTGGTCAAAAAAAAAATGTCAATCGCTCACGATTATCTCCTCCCTTTCCCCACCCCTACCAACAGTAAGGACGTAATAAATTTAATAGAAACTAGCTTTTAATAGAAAATTTATATCAATAGCAACTCTTCAAACAAAATACATATTTATTATAAAGCAAATTAAGGATGAAAAATCCTTTTTTATAGCTGTTTTGTGCTGGTCTGTAAAATCTGGATCTGTGTTTTATATAATCTATAAGGTGTTATATCTTGGAAAGGAAATATTTTCAGCATATGGTTTTCACATACTTTTTGACGAGCTCTTTCCAATGATATAGTTTTTTGTTTAATTTTTATATATTTTTTTGCTGACTGTAACAAGTTATGATCCCGGCCCAAAATGTTTTAGCACTCGTTTTCTTCTTCTTAGTTTTAATCTAGTTAAACAAGTTAAAAGCTAGCTAGACAAGTTAAAACCTAGTCAAAAAACTAAAATAACTTTAACATGTAAATGACTATTGTTTCTAGGGAGATGGAATTTATTTAGTACTTATCCTTAACGTAATATGGGGTTTGCTCAACTGAAACCAATACAATACGCCAACTTACGGAAAATCTTGTAGGCCCAAATGGAATTTAAAGTCATTTATGTAAACTAAAAAATGACGTTATTGATTATTTTTTATTCCAGGCGGAGCAATAGGAAAAAAATTATACCGCTTTTATATAATAAATTTTTTTAAATAAATTTAAACAATGACATTCTAGTTTTAAAAATATAGGTAAAAGGGAAAATTTTACTGAATCATTGAGAAGGTTCAATTATAGATGATATTGATCCTCGGCAAGTGGGACAATGAGCTGTGTTGCTTTTTTGGACTTGTTGAATGCAGGGCTGACAAAACAAAAAATGTCTGCAAGGCATTACTGATGCATTTCGTTCATTAACGGTACAAACAACGCATTTCGGTGACTCTGTTGAAGTAGAAGTTGGCAAAGGAAGACTCTCACCAACCTTGTTCATTGAGTTTTTATCCAAAGCACTAAAAATATTTAGAAACTTCAAATACAATTTTCCATATTTCATGGAAAATAACAGATTATCAAATAAAGTTAAACTAATTAATTTGGTAAAAAAATTGATAAAGGTTAATAAATAAGAAGTGTATACAAAAACTTGGAAAATTATCTTACACTACTTTGAAGTTTTGAAAGAGATATGATACTGTTGATAGCAATCTCTCAGTTGTCCAAACTCGAAGTTTTTTCTCAAAACAACGCATTTTTTCAATTGCACCATAGTCGCGTTGGTCACGGCGGACTGGCTGATTGCAGGCAAGCTGTTGAAGCTCTTGAATTGTATGGACTATTACATGCTGGTAAAGCAATTTCATAAACCGCCAAAATCCTCTATGTCGGTCACCATGTTTGATTTCAAACGTCTATTGAGACTCTCTGCATTGTTATTGGTTTTGTGGTTCAAGCCATAAACACTGAATCCTTCTGGAGTCACTATATTGAGCCAATAACTCTCAAAATACCTTTTAAAAGCAAGTAGTTTGATTTTGATTTCCCGACTAAATTGTGCAATCTCAATAACTCGATATCCCCAAGCAACCAATATTTTGTTTGCAGGAAGGAGACAAAGTGCTGAAACTTTTCGTGCGCAGTTTTTTACTTTAATTTGGTGGCGGTATTCCCTCTGAAGACCAAGAATTGCTAATTGCTTGGTGATTGCATTTTCGAAATGAAACCTAAAGATAAGGATTTAAAGGAGATCATTAATTGATAACAAACTCTGAAAAACTTGGATAACTTAGAAACTGGAAACTAAGTAATAACAAAGTAATAGCTTATACCTGCAACCATTCACCAAGCTTTCACTCCAAGTTGTTTTTGAAGCATTCTGTAGTCCTCGTTCAAAATCTGACATAATGGTGACTGGAGAGAAATCTAAAACTTCTTTTATTTTGGAAAAAACAAGCTTGTATAGAACCTTCGATGTCATTAAAGCGCATACAGCTGGAACAGATATTCCCCAAAGGTGAGGGTTATCAGGATCAAAATTCATCTGATCCTCATCTGGAATTGGATCTTCAAGTACTGCTGAATACTCAACAGAAAATATCAAGAGCTGATACCACTTGCTTTCCTCCATGCGTGGTGTCATGCTGGAAGTACAATAAATGTAACTATAATTTACAACTGTAAATAAAAGTGTTCAACCTAACGTTTTTAATATATCACTTTTTTCGTCTACGGGCTGTCCATTAATAACGTTAAAAAAATAAGGAAGGGGGTGTCTAAATTTTTTTGAAAATTTTTGCTAAGGGTGAGGGGAGGAGGTCAAGTAAAGTTGACATCAACAATGTTGCTTTATTTTTTAAATTTGATTACTCAAAAAAAGAAAAATGTGGCTGCATTTTAGCGCAGCGTCTTTATTTAGGGGAGAAGGGTTATCAAAAATTGACGTAATTTTATAGGGGAAAGAAGTGCCTCTGGAAATTTAACAAATTCTTGACATGGGTGAGGGGGTAATGTAAAAATAGATAAAAGATTGTTGATGTAATTAATGGACAGCCCCCTAGATAAATATATGTTCTTTTCATCAACAAAATACACTTTGGCCGATTTCGCCTTGTAGATGACTAGCATATGCCCAAACAGCAATGCTACATTATTCTGTTCTGCAACTGATCCCAAGAAAATGTCTCCATAGCAATGGCATTCTTTGTCGTTCAGAACTTCAGCAGCTTCATTTGGTGATTTTGGGTTTGAAGGCTCATTTAGCCTTCTCCTTTTCTGAAGACTTGGGATAATTTGACGAAAACTAACAGATTCAGAAACAACTGCAGGAAACTCACTCAAAGTGTTTTGAAAAATTAAGTGCAGGTCTTCAGATGTTGCTTCTGCTTTTTTCTTCATGATACTTTTAGCAAGCAGCACTTCAAAGTCTGTTTCTCTTGAACTGCAACTGTGAACAGTTGTAACCTGAAGTTTATCATGAATAAAAGCTCTGCCTTTGCAATTCATTCTTGTAAAAAAACGACACTTAAGATGCAGTTTGTCTTTATAAAGTTTATCTTTAGTATATCCAAAATCACCAGACCAAAACGCATTTGATTTTTTTCTTTCTCCTTCAGTTTCATTATAATTTTTTGATAAGTTCTCTAACGACATTTTAGAATATTGAGTTTCTTAAAAGTTTCTTAAATTTTAAGTTTTAATTCGAACGGAATTTTATTGCACGTGCAAATTAAACTGTTTATTGGGCGTGCAAATTAACTGTTCATTTAAACTGCTGGCCTCCATTGAAGGTAATGCTAACTTTGTTAAGCTGATGCGAAGTTAGGGTGAAAAGTTAGGAACTATTCATCGAACTCTTAAATAAGTTTCTTTTTGAAAAGTGACTTAGTTTTAAAAATTTCTTAAGATTTTCTTCTAGTACTAGTTTTTTATAAAATAAAAGTGTGATCATATTTTTGATGTTAATCATTAAAAAGAATGTTTGACAATTAAAAATTTTCGATCTTATTCCGTTTTTATTGTTTTCGACATTAACCAGAAAATCTTATTTTTAATGCTAATCGTTAAAATGAGTTTTCGATCTTATTCTGTTTTTATTGTTTTCGATATTAATCAGAAAATCTTATTTTCGATGTTAATCATAAAAATGAGTTTTCGATCTTATTCCTTTTTTATTGTTTTCGATATTGTTCCACATTTGTGAATTTCGATATAAAAACTTTTCGACATCGATCAGAAAATCACATTTTCGATGTTAATCAGTTAAATGAGTTTTCGATCTTATTCCGTTTTTATTGTTTTCGATATTGTTCCAAATTTGTGAATTTCGATTTAAAAACTTTTCGATATTAATCTAAAAATCACATTTTCGATCTTAATCATTAAAACGAGTTTCGGTCAGTTATTTTTCGATACTAATCATTTTTTCAATCAGTTAATTTTCGATACTATTCCGCTTTCCCTCGCAGGATATACTTGTTTAGAGCTAACTAAAAAAGATGACAGGCCATTTCACTAACATTTTTTCTTTTCAGTAAGGAGTAAGGAGTGTAATTACAGAGTGTTTTGTAATGAAAACTTAATAACTAAAAAAAGAAAAAAGAAAAAGAAGCTTTAAGTTTATTCGCAAGTTGTGTTCATTCGCAGTTGATTACTCTGTAATATTCCAATAAACCGCCATTAATAGGAAACCGACGCGTCGATTTCTTATTAATGTTAAAATTCTTTTTTAATTATTTTTATGGCTACTTAGCGACGTAGTCCTTAATTAATGTGTTTTCAAAATAGTCCTTATAAAATTGCGTTCAACTTTATTTTTCAGTTTTATTCAATTTTTTTTTTCAATAAGGAACACCTTTTTTAACAAATACGAAGTTGATTTGAATCAAAAGTTAAGAAAAAAAAAAAGACATGATCGAGCGTAAATAGTTTAACCTGTGGTGTATTTGTGCAAAAGAGCAATTTCAAACCAAACCATTTAAAACTAAATCTTCAAAATTTTCCAAATTCGAAAAAATTCGAGATTAGGCCAAGAAGTCTCTTATAAAATAGTGTTTATTTCTGTACATCTTAGATGTTATAAAATAAATTATTGTTAATTAGATAAATATACTGTAAGTGCTAACTTACGCTTTAGGAAGACGCAAACTTTAGTATAACGTGAAACGTTTAAGTTTGTACAAAGTGTTCCTTTTTCTCCATGTATAACTATTTATCTAAAAATAACTATGCACAGAACAAAAGAAGATTGGTCAATCCTTTTAAATGAGGTAGATTCTTGTAAAAAAATTTTCTTATATATATATATATATATATATATATATATATATATATATATATATATATATATATATATATATATATATATATATTGCCGACCTCTTTTCTAGGTTTTATATATATATATATATATATATATATATATATATATATATATATATATATATATATATATATATATATATATATATATATATATATATATATATATATATATATATATAGTATCAACTTTTAATAGTTTTATTTAATAAAGTAAAGAACTTATAAATAATTTTCAAATTAATGTTACTTACCAATAGACACATTTAATAACATACTTTATAACTTAGCAACTTTATAAACTGTTAAACTATTTTTTCATCAAAAAAACACAAAATTTGACCCTTCTCAGGCCTAAGTATAGTATAGTTTTTTTTTCAAAGCATAGCTCTAACTGTTTTACCATATGAAACAGGTTGTCACAATTATTAAGATGCCTGCACAATTGCAATGTTTTATGGTGCCCCAGTCTCCCCTAGTTAAATTTTTTTCCCAAATAATTATACCAAGACAAAAATAAAAATTAAATAGTTAATTAATGCATAGTACAATTGCACTATACACTATCTAGTTATTTTTGTTTGCCAAAAAACTATTTTCATAACGGTTTTGAAAACTGTTGTTTGAAATTCTCTCTTTTTTTAAATTTGTTTTTAAATTTAAGTTGTAATAATATTAACAACAACCTGAGTTGATTAAATGTTGAATTTTAAGATTAAAAAGTTAAACTTCGATAAGTTTTTCAATATTTCATTGGAGAAAAACTACAATTTAATTTACAAAATCATCGAGATATTTGTACATTGAAAGTTACTTCGCTTAACTAACTTAAAGTAACATATTGGTTTATTTTTAAATTCGCTCAGTTAGATCCGCTAAATTATTTTTAATATTTATTTATATTTTTTATATATATTTTAACAACTCTTCAAACAATCTTTTTTTTTTTTTATATTTAATTATTCTCTTTTATTTTAGTGTTTTCTATACTTTTCACTTTTCCCTCAGGCATTTACTGATCGTGTGTGACCATTTGGCAAATTTATATGCCACAATTTTACATAACTTAATTTTGTAACGTAACTATAACTTAATTGTTAACAAATTTAAATCTTATTAAATTACACCAGAATATTTCTTATTTTTAACTAGTTTTTTTAGTTGTATCTAGTGAAGTAATTAATATTTTTATTAAAGATTCTTTTGTATAATAATATTACAATCCACAGTAATATTACAATTAAAATTACAATTACAATCCACAGTAATATTACAAATATAATTGTTAATGCCATTTTAGTAATTTTGATGAAAAGAACTTTTCTTTTCCAATTTATTTTCTAATATGTTTTGTTGTTGTTGAGTGGCTACCTTTAAACCAAAGTGTCAAAAGATTTTCATATTTGTTCTAACTATATTTGGTTTTAAGTCTTTTTTTTATTTTTTTATTTTAATATATATAACAATTTTATATTATATATAAAATTTATATTTATATAGTATGCTGTTTGTGAGAAAAAACTGGAAAGCAAAAAAGAGGCTTTAAAAATATTAATTGAAGAAAATAAACAAATTCAAGTTGAAAGAGATGTCTATAAAAACAAAAGTTCTCTTTTGGTAAGCGTAATAATTATTATTTGTATATATTTTAATAAATTTATATAATTCAATTGAATCTCGAATAGAATCACTTATTTAAGAAAATCTGAATTTAAGTTTTTTTTTATCTCCTATATATTCTCACAATATACAATTATACAGTTAGAATGCCATTTGAATAAGCTCTTTTTGTTGCTTTTAAACCAAATTACCCATTCTGGGTTTTACTTGAAAAGGTTATTAAGTTTACTGTCGATTACTCCTCCTCCCACAGAGTTAACTCTTTCTGATAAACAAAAAAGCTTGTTCAACAAGAATATCAAGTGCAACTTTGGATAATAAAGGGAAAATGTTATGTTTGTTCTTCCAGTAGAGAATAGAACAATCTAAACGTCCTAATGTTTCCCTTCAGTGTACACAGTAATATATATATATATATATATATATATATATATATATATATATATATATATATATATATATATATATATATATATATATATGTATATATATATATATATATATATATATATGTGTATATATATATATATATATATATATATATATATATATATATATATATATATATATATATATATATATATATTCCTTATAGTGTTATAGTGTTGTCGAAAGAGACTTTTATGGTAAAAAAAAGTCTCTTTTGGCTACAATTTTTTTACCTTGTCTCTTAAGCTGCATTTTATTGTTGTTGAAATGTCCAAGCAATTAAATTAATGCGGAAGTACATTAAGTTTTATTTTTTAAAAAAAAACACGCAATAATAATGACTAGAAAGTTTTTTTTAATTAGTGGTGTTTTTGTTTTTGTTTTATTAAAAAACATTTTTAAAACATGCGTAAGTGTTGCTATATCAACTATCTTATAGCCTGCTGCTACAAGGGAGTGTTGCTACATCGACTATCTTATAGCCTGACTCGCAACAGAGTGCTGCTACATCGACTGACAAATAGCCTGACTCGCAAGGGAGTGCTGCTACATCGACTGACAAAGAGTCTGACTCGCAAGGGAGTACTGCTACATCGACTGACAAATAGCCTGACTTGCAAGGGAATGCTGCTACATCGACTGAGGATTTTGTTTGGGCAGGCAGTCTATCATTTAAAAAAAAAAATATATTTTCTGAAGTTTTTTAACATTTTCTGGTCAGACTTATTAACGCGCTCTTTAATACAACAGTTTATGGGAAAAACTTTGTGACTACCATGCATATATATATATATATATATATATACATATATACATACATATATACATACATACATACATACATACATACATACATACATACATACATACATACATACATACATATATATATATATACATATATAAATATACACGCCTCAGCGGAAGTAAATGACTACAAGAACAGAAAAAAGCTATCCTAAAACAAAAATGGCAAGCCATTAGAGCTGCTCCTCTAAATGGCTTTTAATGAGAGCTTTAGGTTTTTGCGCAAGGTACCTATTTAATAATAAAAAATGCTTATTAAATACTTGATTTTCAACATTTTACATTCAGCAAAAGTGTATCTGTCCCTTTTACTGTATCTGTCCCTGCAAACTCTCAAACCTTTTGTTCCCTGTACTCCAACACTTTGGAACTCTATTATCTCCAAAATTATTATCTCCAAAAATTATTGGAACCTTTGAAACTCTAAAGAGTAAATTTTAGTTTAGCATTGGATTTAAAATGTGCAAACAGTGTTTTTGGACTTTCAAGTCATTCTGGCAAATATACTTGTCTTTATTGTGAAGGAGAATGCTCTCTTAAAGCAGGGAAGCTAAGAACATTGGGTTCCATAGACATGTTATGATCAATATATATGTGAAGGAAAAAAAGATTAAAAATGCAGGAATACAAAAATATTATAAATCCTCGTTTAATATACTTAAAAGAAGATCAAGAAACAATTCTTGAACACATTGTTCCTCCTTCTGAGCTCCACATTATGATGGGAGTTGTGGATATACTTTGTACCATGCTTTTATGTGTTTGACCATCTTTTCAAAATTAGTTAAAAACACATTACATATTAATGAGAGGATACCACGGAGTAGGTTTAGATGGAAACAATGCTAATAAATTTATGTTCTTGTTAGATGTTTTAGAGAGGGATGTTACCTTAACTGCAACGATTGATATTTTACTGATAATTAATTGTTTGCGTAAGTTTTCATTAGTAAAATCAGCAGTGTTCGGTTTAGAAATGGGTGCAGATATTTCTGCTAAAATCCTTTTTTTAGTCTCCAATTATATGCAAAAGATATTTTTGACTATGATTTGAAAGTTTCCTGGAAAATATATGTTTTAGTGCGTCATATTCTTCCCTTTATAGAAGGCAATAAAATTAGCTTAGGAAACTATGCAGAAATGTGGTGAAGCTGTTCACCACAAATTTAAAAAAACTTGGGTGAACTATAAAAGAACTATAGGACTCAAAAATTATAGAGAAAAGCTAAAATCTGCTGTAGTGAGTTTTAATTTAAACAATCAGTAGCATTAATATAATTTGTGTTATATATTTATTTGTTATATGTGTTTTTTGTAAGCGAAGTTAATAAATGTTGATGGTTTATTTTGACTACCATAATGGCTGACTTTAATCAAACTTAGGAAGAAAAAAAACAAAATTATAAGTTTTAATTTAAAAAAATATGTACTTAAAAATATTAACAAGATTAGCAACATTACAGACGCTCAAAATAAAGTCATATTGAAAGTAGTTTATTTAGATCCACTTTATTTAAAATGGTTAATGGTTAAATGGTTAATGGTTAAATGGTTAATGGTTAAATGGTTAATGGTTAAGAAGAAATTAAAAGAAAAAGAGTTAGTATCTTTAAAAACAAAAATGGCGTTTTTAAAGATACTAACTCCTCCATTGCCTCCATTGCAAAATACCCAACAAAACGATTTTGGACATAATCTTTTTTTTTTTTTTTTTAAATTATATTCGCTTCCAACAAGGCTGCAAGCAACCACTAATTAGTGTTGAAAGTTACTGGAAGAGAAAAGATGAAGATTGTAGAGCAAGATAACGATTGACAGAGGACTTAAAAGATTGCAAGTTGTATGAATCAGGAAAGCAAGATGAAGGAAACGAATTCCAAAGAACTGATGTTCGAGGAAAAAAACTAGACGAATAAGAGTTTTTGGAGCACTTAGATACAGTAACAGAAAAAGGATGAGACTTAATTGAATGACGAGTAACACGAGAATGAGTCTTAGTAGATGGCACAAGAGACGCTAGCTCTTTTGAGCAGTGCCCATTATAGTATTTGTAGAAAAGAGAAAGAGAAGCAACATTACGGCGATGTGACAGAGGTTGAAGGTTGGCTGCAAGAGCAGGTCCAACTATGTTTACAATGCATTTTTGCACCTTGTCTAAAAGAGAAAGGGCATCATTAGAAGATCCGCCCCTGATATATCAACAGTATTCCATAAAAGGCCGGATTTGAGATTTATAGAGATAGAGAATAGAATCCAGAGTACTTAGCATCTGCTAGTACTCATCGAGTACATTACCGTTCATAAATATAGGAAGGTCTAAACTATTGCGATAATGATTGGCCGAAAAAAAGTGAGTTTTATCTGAATTAAAGTTCACCAGCCACTGTGAGGCCCATGCTGTAGCAAAAGTGAGATCTTTTTCAAGCTCAGATGCCAGCTGCAAGCAATCAGAGGGAGTTGGCTCCCTATTGTGACAAGAATAAATGGTAGTATCATCAGCGAACAATATCTGGAAGATCGTTAATGTAAATTAAAAAGAGTATAGGGCCAAAGATTGAACCTTGAGGAACCCCTGAGGTTACAGAATAAGAATAAGAGTGCTGTCCATCAAGGACAACTTTTATACTACGATTGGAAAAGAAGGATTCAATAATCTTAAAGATGTTTCCAGATACACCATAAGAAGAAAGCTTATGGAGAAGACCAACATGCCAAACTTTATCAAACGCTTTGGAAATTTCAAGAGCAATGGCCTTAACCTCTCCACCTTTATCTAATGTGCGATAAAATCTATCGGTTATTACTGATAGCAAATCAGCCGTAGAATGAGAAGATCGAAATCCATATTGATGATCAGAAAGTAGGTTATGAGATTCGAGATTAAGTGTTTGTTAATTAAAGATTCAAAAACCTTGCTTATGATAAGAAGAAGACTAATGGGGCGGTAGTTAGACGAATCGGATCGCTCTCCAAATTTTTTAAAAATAGGGATAACAGATGCTGCTTTCCAGCAGGCTGGAAAACAAGACTCTGATAAGCACTTGTTAAATAGTTTTGAAAGGATAGACGACAGCTCTATCTAGCAAGAAATATAACAAAACAATCCGCAGCAGACAGATCTAGCAAGAAATATAACAAAACAATCCACAGCAGACAAGCTAGCTGGCAATCTTGGCTTGTTTGTCTCTCAAGCAACTCCAAGAAACGCAAAAGATAAATGTATACTGAGAGAAATAAACTTTTATAGAAAGGAAGCTTCCCTAAGTCCTTTAAGTTTTAGTCAATTTTGGAAAAAAAGTTCATCAAGTTTGCCTATGTTAACTATTGCGGTTCGAAAGTATTGCATTATACCAGCATCTTCTGTCGCAGTAGAATCTGCTTCTAGTGAAGCAAACTTTATTCACAAAAAAAGAAAGAAATAGCCTTTCATCAAGAAACTTAAGATTTACATTAGTTTTAAAGTGTGCAAAAAGAAGCTCTATATATAACCAACTATTTGTAAAAAAGAAATCTTATTAATTTAAGAAAGTTAAAAAATAAAGATCCTTTAACTTTTTTTTTGACTTTCGAATGTAAAGTGATTAAAAAATGTAAGGGTAACAAAAAGTGTAGGGTAGTAGGGTCAAATTTAATTATAGTAATAATTTAATATTATGTTAAAACCTTAATTTTTAAATACCTTCCACTTTCTGGATACTGGGAATAGATTAAATTCAATCCATTTCCACTTCATGGAAAGTTGGAGATTTTTATTTATTTTTTGCCTTTAACCTATATATATATATATATAAAGTATATAAGCTATAAGTATATAAACTAAAGTATATAAACTTTAAGCTATATAAATAACAATATAAAGAAAGTATAATCAACAAAATCTTATTCAATATAAATACATCTAATTTGCAAATACTTTCCAATTCAAAGTGAACTGCTTTCCGAAACTGGTTCCGAAAGCGAAATCAAGCAGCTCTACTTATTAGTTAAATAAGTGGTATTTTGGATTTTTAACTTAAAATATATTTAAAAGAATATGTTTTTATTAATTTTTTAAATTATTATTGGTTTAATTTTTATATTTTAGATTTTAAAATTAATTTTGAAAATTCAAGTAACTTTATAAATTGGAAAAAAATTCAAAATTTTTTTCCAATTTATAAAGCATTGGTGTTGTTTGACTTTTTTAAAGTCATAACTACTTAAAAGTACATCATCATTAAAAAGATATTTTGAATTTCTCTAGCAACTTGAAATTGATGGTTTGCGCGAAGTGTTGGGAACATACAAGCAACCTATTAATAGCATTGGTGAAGACGCAAAAAAAATAAGGGTCAGTTTTTTTTTTTTTTTTTTTAAATCTTTACTTTTTGTGACAACTTTCTTTTTTTCAATAATGTTGAAAGTTAATTTGTTTTTCTATTACTTGTAATATGTTTGTTGTGAAAAGAAACATAATATATATGAGAATGTATTAAATAAATATGAAGAAACCACTTAAAAAATTAAAAATTTAAAAAAACAATTTTAGACCTTAAGTAACTTACTACAGTTTTCAAGAGATGAGAATGAATTATTAAAGAAAGATTTAATGAATCTCAAACATCTTTACAGTGAATGTCAAAAAGACAATATACTACTACATGCTACAATATCTCGACATAGCAACAACCAGGTTCTTGACAAAAAGGAAGATAAGGAAAGACTTATTTTGCAATTAGAAGAGGTTAATTCCAAGGTTGAAATATATTTTTTATTATTACGTTTATTTATTTTACATTATTTATATTTATATTTTAATTTTAATTTTGCTGTGTAAAACCTCTAAATTACATAAAAATAGATTATAGATTAGTAGTTGTATTTAAGAAATTGTGTTTTTAAGGTTTTTGTTTATAATTTTTTAATTAATATTTTTTATACAGCTGTTTTTTTTTTTTAATTTTTTTGTTATAGTATTTAAATTTAATGGAAGTTATAATATTGTTGTCGTCTTAAATCGCTTTTTAAACTATTGCATTACTGTGTGGCTTATCCATTTAAAAGTTACATTAAGCTTTTAAGGTGGCAAAAAAAATTATTTGGTTCTTTGCTTTTAATATCATAATGATATAGTACATAATGAAAACAATTAATACTCCATAGTCTGAGTTTAAATGTCAAAAGTAAAGTTTTTTTGTATATTTTAGATTTTATATGATGTTTTAAACTTCATATTTTTTTTGAAATTTCAAATTTTAGATTTTTTTTGAAGTTTCAATCTTTAGGTTTTAGAGCAAGAAAAGTGATTAAAAAGATAAACATTTATTTTTAGGTTTTAGAGCTTGAGCAAGAATTAGAAATTTGTAGAGATGAGAAACTGCAAGTGCAAGAGGAGGTCTGTATCAAAAATTTGTTGTTATTAAAGGTTTATAACATAGTTACTTAATGGTGATGTGATCCATTTTATTATGTATCATTAAAAAAAAAAAAAAAAAACATAAATATTTAAGAAAACCAGTAAAAAACTGAGTAACAAACTTCCAATGACCTTTTACTTTTTTTCTAGGTATATAACTACAAAGTTTTTTTTTCTATGTATATATTTACTAAGTTTGGTACAAAATTACTACAGTGCAGGCCTTGTTCCGGAAAGTGTTGATAATGGGACAAATATAAATTGAGGATGTTTTCTCTGCAAGATTTTGCAACAAATCCAGGTTTTTCAGAAGCTTGTGACAATCATTTCAAGCAAATTGATGGTACATCACAACACGTGCAAGGATGTGATGATGAGCGAGACTGAAGTCCACAGAGGATGTTGGCCAGCTTCAGATCACAAGAAACAACAAAATCCTAGGGTTCGACTTGATGAGAGACAGAACATTTTGGACATTCAAATAGGTTTCAGATAAATCTTCAGCAATTGCAATGTTAAGCTAATGATTACAGCCACTATCTTTGGAAGAGTTTGTAGTCAAGTTTTTCTTACATGGAGGAGGATCATCTTCACAAGGCATTTTCTCAATAGCTCCCAGAATGACTTTCAGAAACCCACCACCACCATTAATGCCACCACCACCATCAATGCCTAATTGATTAGTGGCTTGGTGAAGACTTTTCGTGACAGAAGAACTTCATTTAACAGTTCTTGCAGATTTTTACAGTGAACTACAAGTTTCTTGCCAATAACTCCATTGCCTTGTTCAGGTAGAATAATCTGTTTGAATTAAAAAATCCGGCAAGTGAGTTTCCTAATGCAGAAAATTTGGAGCAAATGTTTGGCTCAGTAATTCGGACTGCTGAAACTTGGTTCAAAGTTGTCGCTAACTTTTTCACGTTTGTGTTTGACAATCCAGTATTGATTTGCACTTGAACGAGATCCCCTGCAGTAACTAAGGATGTTGATCCAAAGAGTCTTCTTGCACTTGAAGGACCTATAAGTAAATATTTTTGCAATTTTTTTTAAATTTTACAAGTTGTCACAATTAAAGTAATTGACTTTTCTCAAGAATTGACCACATTTTTGGCATTGAGAACTAATAAAATTGAACACATTTAATTATATTACAATAAAGTCATTTTTACCTGGGGTGACAGGTAAAGATCGTCCACTTTTTGCTTGAGCCAGACAAATTGTTCCTTGAGGGGAAGCATCTGTGTCAGCTATTGCAGAAGCTGCAAGGTTGAATTTTTTAATCACAGTTTTCTCTTCACATGTTGTCATTTTTCTGACTTTTTTAAGAGGATGGGATTTATTAGATACCCAACTTGACATATAATGCAATCACAGATCAGTCCGCTTGCAGGTCGCCTGACATTGATGGTTTCAAAGTCATAGAGTCTTGGCATGACAACCTCTTTCAAGCACAAGAAACCCAGTTTTCCAGCAATCTTTGTGAGTTTTAGTTTGATTGGGCATTTTGAAAGACCAAATGATTCCAAAATCATAAAAATGAGTGGCTCTTTGTTTTGATGTATTGAGAATAGCCCTTTCCTGTAATTTTAACACCAATAATAACAAAAAATCATTTTATTTAAGAAATATAGGTATGCTCTTTTTGCAAAGTCATAAAAACAAAAAAACAATGTTTTAGTCATGTAATAATAAAATTATCACTCACTTAAATTTTTTTGTATACTGTAAAAATGCAAAAAATAGTTATGCTGTCATTTGTCTAGTTGCTGTAATATAATAAAAAATAAAAACTCATTTTATTTTGCAAGACGAAATAGTTGGATTTCAAATTTTATATTTTTGAAATCCAGGCATCAAGGGCTTTCATATGCACCCAGCCATTTCTCTGGATCAGCTATATACAGTTATCATGAATCTGGCTGGTGGTGAAGTATTTGTAAAAAATTTAATTTAATCAAATAAAATATACAAATTTTAATTTAATATGTAATAAATATATAATATAATAATAGTATTTTATAATTTTTTGTCATAAAGAGGGTGTTTAAACCAACATTCTACCACCCTTGTGTAACAGTCATATAATGAACAGACATGTATAGTATTTTGATCAAGATATAATAGAACTGAAGATAAATGCGTGTTGTCCTGTAGAAAATCTGTTCAGATTTTTCTGATGAACTTCAACTATATCTTAAAATAACAAAATTACTTCGAATTTAGCAAACTTTGAAATATTTAATAACATTCTTTTTTCATATTCAGGATCTAGAAATATAAAAAAACAGTAGATGCCAAAAACAAAAAAGTTTTGTTAGTTTGTTTTTATGTTATACTGCGTTAATACCAATATTTATTTGTTAATTATTTTTTATATTATATTTATTAATATGATAAAAGTATCTTTCTTTAAAAACAGGATAGTTCAGTGAGGAATTAAACAACAACAAAATTTTTGGTTTTAGATATAATTAAATTTTAGTTAAAATTGATTATTTTACTTTTACTACTGATATATAAAAGTATGAAAAATTGTATGTATAAAAAGTATGAAAAAGTGAAAATTAAAAAATAGTTATACAGGGTTCCACAAGAGTGGGGTGTGACCTGAAATTTTTCTGTTAAGAATTTGTAAAATAAAAAACCTTCTATAGAATTCTCCCTCATAAAATATAATTTCTGTTAATTAATGCAATACATTATCTCCTTTATGAGATTTTGGTAAAACATAATTTTCATTTATTTATTTCCTTCTTTTATATTTCTTTTCTTTTATGATATTTAAGCAAAGCTAAAAGTTATTTTTGTTTGCTATAGATAGAATATACTGAAATGCCTTTGAGAAAACTTTGCATAAATATACATCTGATGTGTGCATCTGATGTGTGCACAATTTTTAAATGAAAAGAACTTATTTAAAATTTTACACATTTTTTAAAAATAATTAAGACATAATTCTAGTGTAAAAAACAAACGTTTCTAAAGATGCTGACAACTGAAGTTATTAAAAAATTACATTTAGTAGATACAAGCAACTTATAAATTAATGAAATATGATTTTTTAATTTATTTTCATTAAATTTAAATATAATCTTTGTTTTTTTTTTTTCTACTTTTTTGACTTTTTTTTGTTGTTGTTGAAAATAACAATCATCCTAAAAATTAGACAACATAATAAACAGTAAAAAATTATGAAAGAAAATGATGAAAATTAGACAACATAATAAACAGTAAAAAATTATGAAAGAAAATGATGAAAAGTGTTGTGGCTCACTTATTTTTAAGTAATTGAGTTCAGCTTGCATGCAATTAACTTTTTATATAAATGTGTGATATACAGCATGTCAGCCATTTTTTTTCTGATAATCTTGCATTAAAAATTGTTTTTATTATATTAGTTATTATAAGTAATGTTTTTATGCAACTTTATTTAAACAAAAAGATTATTGAAATATATATTTTCAAGAAATTTATTTTGTTAACCAAATTCAGTAGCAAATTTATTAAATATTTTTATAGTTATTTTTAATATATTATGTTTTATAGTTGTATTTGTTTTTTAATAGAAAGACAGTTTCAATGCCAAGAATATTCGATTAAATGCAGAACTCAATTATATTTTACACAACGATGATAAAAGAATTGTTGATATTGATGCTTTTGTGCTGGAGAACAAGTAAAAATAATATTTCTTTAAAAATATAAAATGAGAATAAGCAATAAAATTATAGTTACAATTATTTTTATTTAATAAAAATTATAATATAGTATTATCATTATAATTTTTTTAAAATTTATGTTATTTTTCTAATAATAATTTTTTATTGTCTTAAATTAGATCAAAAGTTCATGATAAATTTTTTTTTTTTTAACAAGTTCACTCCCAACAAGGTTGCAAGCAGCCACTATATATGTTGGGAGTTAAGAGAAAGTAAAGAAGGTAGTAGACAAGAAAGTGGTTGACAATGACAAAGAAGAGAGTTGACAAGAAAGCGAATTGAAAAAAGACTTTAAAAACTGTAACTGGTATAAATTTGAAAAGCATGAAGACAGAAGAGAATTCTAAAGCATTGAATTCTAAAGCAAGTTTTTTGAACACATAGGAGCAGTCACATGTAGGAGCAGTCACATGTAGGAGCAGTCACATGTAGGAGCAGTCACATGTAGGAGCAGTCACATGTAGGAGCAGTCACATGTAGGAGCAGTCACTGTAAAAAAACTTTGCTGAATGTGGAGTCACACTAGTTTGAGTTTTGGTTGATGGAACAAAAGATAAAAACTTACTTAAACTGCGACAAAGGTAGTATTATGTAGAAGAGGGTAAGACCTTACATTAATGGAACAGAGGCTCAAACTTGGCAGCAAGATCATGTCCAACCACATTTAAAGTACATTTTTAGACTAAAAGAGAAAGGGCACCATCAGCCCAAATATGACAATGGTATTCCATACTAAGATGAATAAAAAATATCATCTTTTTTTTTATCTGGTCAAGTGCTCCAAGAAGACCTAATGACTTAAGCACAGAGCACAGCAGAAGAGATTTAACTAGAAAGTTCATGCCATTTTTTCTCACTGAAAAGTATATAACTTAATTATGATACCATTTTTCTTATGCAACTGACTTTTCTTATGCAATTACTATGATAATTAATTAATCTACAATGTTTATTCTTTTTGATAAACATTTATTAAAAAGGCAAATATTAACTAAACTTTTATTTAAATTTTATGTGTATTTTAAGTGAGCTTTGACTTTTTTAACTACCATGATGTTCAAAAATTTTGAGTAAATTTAACGTTAGAAAAAAAACACAAATGTAAAAAAAAAAAAAAAACTGTAATAAATTACATAATAGTTGTATTTTTATTTCTAGATAAGATTATCGTTTCTTGAATTTAGAAAATTTTTTTTAATTTAATAGCAAGGTTTTAATGTGGTTTATCTTGTTGCACATAAGTTTAGACTCAAATATTTTGTTTTAAAAGTAGTTAAAAAGTCATTATATTTGTAGGTACTTGAAAGAAGTGCTTAAACAATACAAAGAGGAAAAAAAGGCAGCCTTAGCATTAGTTTCACGATACAAAGAAGCTTTAAACCAAAAAAAATTGAGTAATAAATTATCGTATTTACAAATGTTGGGTGAGTAAATTGATTTTATTTAAAATGAAATTAAAAAAATATAAACAATTAAAATTTATTAAAAAAATGTTTTTAAATTTTTGGCAGTAAAAAAAAAGTTTTTGTCAACCTTGTATCAGACATGTATCTTCCAGCCCCCCAAAAAAAGTTTTTGTCAACCTTACATCAGACATGTATCTTCCAGCCCCCCAAAAAAGTTTTTGTCAACCTTGTCACATACATGTATGTATCTTCCAGCCCCCCCAAAAAAAGTTTTTGTCAACCTTGTATCAGACATGTATCTTCCAGCCCCAAAAATTAGAAGAAAAATAAAGGTAAAAGTATCACTAATTTTTTTTTAATTCTTGGGGCCGGAAGATGTCTGAAACTGTAAAACTGGTAGTTTCTAAAGTATGGCATAATTCTATCATGCCATCAATATTATACAGCTTGTTGAGCGCATTTTTACAAAGTTATGACTATTGAGAAGTAGCAGAACTTTTTATTAACTGAATATCTTTTGATGATAGAATTTCAATTTGATGGAGCTAATTGATGAGGTTTGATTGATGATTAAAGTAATCTATAACTTTAAGATTAATGTCATTTGGGAGGAACTTGAGTTTATAAACAATAATTATGAATTTTGTATGTTTAATATAAATTTGTTTAAAAATATCTAAACAGCCTACAATAAAGAAGTTTTAGAGCTTGCAATAGCAAGAACTAGTATCACTGAATTTATGAGAACTTACTGAATTTATTTTCTGAGAAACTTACAATTAAAATAACAAATTTTCTCAAGCATAATACTTTTCATTAGCTTTTAATTCTATGAATGTTTTTTTTGCTAACTTTTAATTCTTTATATGTTTTTTCACTAGCTTTGAATTATATACATGTTTTTTCACTAGCTTTAAGTTCTATATATGTTTTTTCACAAGTGTATTTAATTTGTTTAATTATATTTTTAATTACACACTTGAATTAGGGTTGTCTTTCAATGCTAAACTGAAAATGAATTTAAATTTCTATTTTTTAATTTTAGTTATTCCAGAAAACATGGTTACATGTTTGTATTGTATAAAATACAAAGGATGCATGGGTACATGTTTGTATTGTGTAACAAGCAAATTAATTGCATATAAAATAATTGAACTTAAATTTTTTTGCAGGCATAGCATAAAAATAACACTTCTTCTTCCGCAGTTATACTATGATTATTCCATTTTCCACACACATCAGTAACAGCTTTTCCACGCACATTATCTGTGAATGTATAAATAACTATAGGGACAGCAAAATTTAAAGTATTATTAAAAATAGGTTACTCAAACAACAGGATGGCATGGATGATATAAATTTTTATTTCATTTAACTCTTTTTAGAATATTTTCTACCTTAAAGTTTCAAAAAATACCTTAAATGATCCAAGATAATATTTTTGAGCAAAATTAGTTTTTCTATAAACTAGGAGAAGAAAAATAATGCTTTGTAGAATAACTTAAGTCTGAAGATAAGCAGAGTTGAGATAACTAGAGTTGAGAGACTTTTATGAGTTCTGCCAGATTTTCAAAACGCTAATTTTTCAAATTTCTCATTGGAAACAGAAGTGTTAAATGGTCATTTGAAAACCTTATTTTCAAAATTTTAAATTATAAATGGCCATGTGTTGTCTACATATGTTCCCATGGCTCTTCAATGCATTATATTAACTGAAGTTTTATATTCAGGCTATCAGTGACAAATCCAGGGGGGATAGGGTATGCATCCTCCCTCCTCTCTCCCCCCTCCCCCCCAGAATCTGAAAGTCCTATAATCTCTTATAAATAGGGGACTTTTTTTTTTTTTTTTTAGGAGACGCAAATGTAATACAAAATACAAAAGTATTTCAATATCCCCTCCCCCTACCAAAAATTCCTGAATATGTGACTGCAGGCTATAAGCAAGTATATATGATTTACCCATTAACATATGAAGTTCTAACAAAAGAATGACTTTAAGAATTAAATTTAAAATATTAAAATTACATTTCAGAACTTAGATAATCTTTGAAGTCATTGCCCTTTGAATAAAACCTTCTCCTAGAATCTCCAGAAAGTTCAAATTTTCCTTCACATGAAGCTCAAGCATACTTGCCACCATGAAAATTCATTTAGGTTTTGTTTAAAACTCTGCTTTAAAAGTGGCATAAAAGTTTATACTTAAGTTATGGCGTTAATTATTTTCAAATCTGCTGCAAGAATTTTTTTTTCAAATTTAAAAAAAAAACAAATAAAAATGAATTTTTCTCCTGCAAGTTGTCATAAAAAAAAGAATGTAAGTGTGGTTAATTCCAGAGTAAGTTTCATGAAAATTTATGTCTTTAAATTTTATCTGGGTCAAAAAGATTATAATTAATTAAGAATACCATCTCCTACAAAAAAAAATTGCAAGTTCAGGTTATTCATCTTTACCTTAATCATTTCCAATTTGGATTATAGTCTAGTATGGATCTAGTATCTGAACAAACTGTGCATGTTTCAGTTGCTGGAGCTAGCACATTCAAACAAATGGGTAGATTAGTATCTTTTAGATAAGGTGGTTAAATTCTTTATAATATTTCATAATAACTTAACTTTTGATATTGTGGAATAAATCTAGAGTGCTACACATTGCACGTGTTCAATCAGGTCAGTTTCTTTTTTTAAAAGATACTGACCTGATTGAACAGTGGAGTCCAAATAAAAAAAGCCTAATCAAGATAATTATGCTTTTCAAGATGATTATGCGATTAAGGTAAATATAGTTTTTGATAAAAACTATATTTACTTTGAAAACAATACTAGTAAAATGGCTACCTTATTTCATATTTTTACTATATTTTCATCTTTATCCTACTCTTCAATACTTATAACCACTCTTTAATACTTATACTTTAGTACTTCTTTGCTACTAGTATTTAAACGACTTCAATACTAGTATTTAAAAACAAAGACAATTGCAGTAAAATGGCAACCGTATTTTGAATTGTTTCTTTCTATCTAATAAAACTGAATTCATTCAAGATCAAAACCTTTTATACCTTACATTTTAATTTTGAATATAAATTTTCCATAAGAAACTCTGTGCTTTAGAAGTAAAGATGTTGCTAGAGTGTCCTTTGCTCCATGCTTGGGTTAAAATATCTAGATTTTAAAGGACAATGTTCAATAGTTAAAAGGATCAGGATTATTGCCACTTGTAATGGAAGCTCGAATGCTTTTGGATGTTCAAATCTTTCCACACTTTTGGTACTTCTTCTGATTTAAAGGATAGTTTAAAAATGTATTCAATAGCAGTACTTAAGCTTTTAGAAGAAGTACTCAACTCATGATGAACTCAATTATTACTAAAGATTTTAGTTTGGTTTAACGTTTTAAATTGACTATTTTATTTATACAATTTTTGCAGTAGACTGAAGTAACTGGTTTAAATTTTGTTAGGGTTTTATGTTTGTATTGAAAATATACCGATTAAGAAAAGGTGAAAATTTTCATTAGTTGTACCATTTGAAAACTCTAAATTTTGTGTTCCTTAATTTTATTCTTATTAACTATTCACATATGTGTAAAATTCTTCAGGGATTGTCCATAAGTTACGCAACTCAAAGTTTATTTAAAAAACAAAAGTTAGAGAATTGTAAGCTCTTTTATGCAGTTTTCATTAAACCTAATGAGCTATTTTGATTTTTCATTTAACTTGAAGGTAAAACATTTGGTCTCTTGTTTTGTTTATTAGTTAAACTTTGCAAAATTTCTCATAACAATCATTATTATTTAGATTGCTGAATATTCCTTTCCAATTGATTAAATTTATATTTTAATAGTGTCAGTTTTAAACCTTGAAATGAGTTTTGACTTAGGTTATTAGTGTTTACTAAAAAAGTTAAAATGACATGTTAGAAGGTGGACTAAATGTAGCTTAGAAATGCAATTTGAAGATTCTGTAAATATCAAATCAAGCATACTGTTGGTTCATCACACTTTTAAAATAATGATACATACTAATATAATTTTCAATGCTCACTTCCCTGCCATTGCAATGCATAAAGGGTACCAATGCTGCTACTTTTCCGCAAATTCATATCTTGTTGTCTTTTCTCTTAATTTTTTATAATTATTATATATTTCATTTAAAACAATACAAAACAAAAGTTCTCTTCAAATTTTATTTTCTCATTAAAGCACTTTTCAAGTTATAATATATGAGTATAGTGTTCAAGTTATAAAATATGAGTATAGTGTTCAAGTTATAGTATATGAGTATAGTGTTCAAGTTATAGTATATGAGTATAGTGTTCAAGTTATAATATATGAGTATAGTGTTCAAGTTATAGTATATGAGTATAGTGTTCAAGTTGTAATATATGAGTATAGTGTTCAAGTTATAATATATGAGTATAGTGTTCAAGTTATAATATATGAGTATAGTGTTCAAGTTATAATATATGAGTATAGTGTTCATGTTATAATATATGAGTATAGTGTAGGGTTGTTAACCGGAGGATTTTGTGCAATTCGGGAAAAACAACATTCTTTTGTAAGGAGATTGAGAACGAGGAATTACATTTTTTCGTACCGAATGTTACAAAACATTTAAAATCGCTGATGTTCATTTCGCAAAAGCTACTTCCGAAATTTAGCATTTCGCAAGTTGACATACGCAACAAAACTATTTTGCAACATACGAAAGTAGCGGTTTCAGAAGTCGCACTTGCGAAACAAACATTTTTGCCAAACGGCGTTTTGAAGTCTATAAAGAAAATTTGTTTGTCAGACTGATTTTAATTGTAAAAATTAACATCTTTAAATCCCAAAATGTTTATAATGAATTTTTATTTTCAGTATAATAACATATTAAATTTTTATGGTTTTATTTTTAGAAATATTGATAAAAAACAAAATTTCTTTCGAATCGAAAGTATTTTGCATCACAACATACAAAAGAGTTCTTAACGGAAATAAACTTACGAAACGTGCTATAATAAATATATATAACGATGTTTTTTGAACTCATTACGTATAGTAAAAATAAGAATGATGGGTAGGAATATACATGTTTTTTTTTAAAGCGTATGAAATTTTTGAAACAGGTTCGAATATGCTTAAGCAAATAGTAAAAAGAGGCTCAAAAATATGCTTAAGCATATTTCTGATAAAATATACCTATTTCAATAATTTCTAAAAGTGTGCACGTTACTAAAGATTAATGGGTATAAGAAAAATAAAAAGTTGACTTATGCTCTGTATTTTTGTTTTGGTTTTAATGCAGCTGAATTTATGTTGTTATAAACTTCGGTTTTTGTTGGTTTAAATTTAGAAATATATATATTTAAAATTTTTAATTAAATAAAAATAAAATTTTTTAAATGGTCTATCAAGGCTCAGAAATATGCTTACATATGCTTTTTTTTTTTTTTTTTCCAAATTTGAGCCTATAAGCGTTATGCTTATAAAAAAAAAATGAGTATATTCATTAGAATTCCGTTATCTCGGTCCCTGGATAAGTAGGACTTTGGGGCTATCCATAAATGATGTCAGTAAATGTAAGGGGGAAGGGGTACTGAAAAGTTTGACAAGAATTGACAATGAGAAGGGGGTGTTGAGACCAACATGATGTCCATTTAAGAAAAAAAAATTTAAGTTCGAGATTTTCAGCAGATTTTAAAGGTATGTAGAGTCCTGTTTGAATACGCTTTTTGAAGTATAAATCTTAGAAAATATTGCTTTTTAATTTTAATAAGATATAAATTTAAATTTAAGATTGTATAGCTCTATCATTTAGATACCTGATAATTCGCCGCAGAGATCCGGGTTCGTATCCCGCTGCCATTGCGACTTTTGTTCATCAAACTTTTTTACTTAAGATAGCATTTTTTGACCTCCATGTTCTATATTACAGATCTCTCATCACCTTCATAATAGTGACAACCTCTCTTCTGTTAGTTATTATTTTAAGATTGAGTTCATTGTGCTTAATTCTACGCGCTTCCCTTGCTTTACTAAGTTCTACTTAAATTATGATGAAATGTACGTAAAACAACTTTTTCAAATAATATAAATCATTTTGCTTTAAATCTTGTGCTTTTTGTACTAGACATCTGTCCTAAACACTTTGTAATCATTTTTAGCTAACTTTGAGTCTGATATAATCTTTTCTGAATATAATTTCCCTGAGGCTCCTACAGCCTATTGTGTTCCATTAAAAGTAACTAGTTTTCAAGTCCAGTTATGAATTATAAGCAATTAAAGGTTCACATTACTATTCATTTTCTTGATTTATAGAATCCTATTTGCATATGTATCTCTTTCTGTAAATTCTGTTTTATATACTTAATTATATAATAAATAAATATTACTATTCACTTAGTTGAATGAACGTATAGCTCATTCAGTTAAGAATAACATTTAGCTGCGGAGACCGAGGTTCACATCCTGCTGTATCCCATATATTTCTTCTCTTTTTACTCTTTCTTGATATCATTTACCTTTAGAGAGATCTCTTGTTCTTTATAATTAAGTATTTAATTGTTTATCACACATCCTCTTTATACTTTCTAAAAAGAAAGGCATACTATTTATCTGTTCATTGAGAGTCCAACTTAACGGTATATACATGTATATATATATATATATATATATATATATATATATATATATATATATATATATATTGTCAAATGATTCTTCAAATGTTTATACAAATATGTCTATTATTTATTATTTAAACTGTTATTATTTATTATTTAAACTGTTAACAGTTAATATCTTAAATATATTGAAACATAAAATCTTTTGCGTCTTTTTCGTAACTGCACATTCCGGAATGCTCCTTCCGTAAGGAACTATTTCGTAAGTATTCTTACGAAATGATTTGTTTCGCAAGTTTTCTTTTGCAATGCTTTATTACGGAATTTTATTTATTTATATTTTCGTATAGTGCGTTACGGAATGTGCATTTTCGCATGTGCAACTTCGGCAATAACAATTCTATTACGGTCGATAAAGATGCGATATTTTTGCAAGTTTGTTTTTCGGCGAACAACCCTAGTATAGTGTTCAAGTAATAGTATATGAGTATAGTGTTCAAGTTATAATATATGAGTATAGTGTTCGAGTTATAATATGAGTATAGTGTTCAAGTTATAATATATGAGCATAGGGTTAATATAAAAATGTATGAACGTTGGGTTTAAGTTATAATATATAAACATAAGATTGAAGTAATAGTATATTAGATTGAAGTAATAATATATTAACATAGGATTGAAATAATACTATTTAAGCATAGGGTTTAAGTTATAGTATATGGGCATAGGGATAAAATAGTAAAATATGAGGGTTTGTTTTAAAAAGTTCATAACAATAGTTATTATTTTATTATACCAGTTGTTTATATGTAAAGTATTTAAAACTAAACAAATAGTCTAATTTCATTTATGTGTAAAATTTAACTAATAGTCTAATTTCATTTATGTCTGCAGAAAATCAACATGAATCGTATTTTTCCTCTAATTCAACAATGCAGCAACTTCAGCGTGTTAACAAATCACTTACTGAAATTATTGCAGAAAAAGAGCTCGCACTTAAGCATCAAAGAAATACTAACAGGTTTTGAAAATATTTTATTTATTTTACTCATGTCAGTAATAAAACAAAAAAAAAATTATAAATAATTATAAGATAATAAAAGGTTTTGATAAATGTGTTCAGTTAAATTGTGGCTTTTATTATTTAGGTTTTATAAGGATTTTGAACTAAGCGTGGCAAGGCTTGATCTGGATGATAGTATAATTTAATTTTGAGTTAGCAAGGCGAAGGCTTGGTTAATATGCTGCTACTTAAGTACCTTAAAAATTTTGACAGAATCTTTATAGGTTAAAAAAAAAAGGCTTAGATGAACTTTTTTTCTGCATAGTGCTTTTGATACTGTTTTAATGTTACCTCTAAAGCTATGAGAAAAGTTGCACCTCACTACTTTAATTGTAAGATGGATCTTGGGCGATCATGCCCTACTTAAATACATGGCCTTCTATTTTGTTTAAATTGAAAAAAAAAGAAGAAGGCCAGTTAAAAAAACACCAATTTTGTCGGATGGACAAACTTTCTCAAAATATTTTAATTATTGCGCTATAAATTTTAAGTAAGTAAATATGACACTGAATAACATTTTTGAGTTGCCCTTATCAAAATATCTACTAAACTTCACTAAACTTTGTATACTTAATTGAGGCTTTTTTTTAGTAATAAAAATAGTAATGCTGTGTTTATAGAAAACAACACAACAATTTTAACCTTCATAATTATATATTACTAAATGACTTTAGAAAGACATGGTTTAGATTTGTCAGTAGAAATTTTGGGATATTCAAGGGCTGTACAAGAAATAAGAATACACAAATTCTCAAAAATAAGCTTTAAAGGTATAAAAAAATTATACACAAACTGATTTAAAATGTAAAACAAAATATCTTAATTTTTTTCTCTGTCTTTTTATAAAGGCAACAATGTTATCTGCAACAATGGAATCACTGACTCTCTTGCTGATATTGTTAAAATAAATATTTGAAATAACAGTGTGTATAATTTCTTTTCCCCAATTTTGGTTATTTAAACATAAAAATGGTTGGTAAACTTCTCTATGGCCATGAACTAACTTTGCTGATTTATGGTGTTGCATTTGAGACTGATAAATAACATCAAATACATGATCTAGCATAGCAAAACTGTCACAGACATATTCTAAAAGTGGTACTGATGAAGTTGTTAGCCCACCTCTGGACTATTTATTTAGATAATTATAATCATTCGTCTTCTGTTTACAATTTTGAGTACAAAGCAATTTGTAACATACTTTAAACATCCTAATCAGTTTTTGGCAATAAAACCAGAAATATAACTGGCAACTTAACAAAAATTATCTGATTAAATCACACAATCTAAATCTCTTTCTTTGATCTGATCCATCAAAGATCTAGCATGTTGTGTACCGTCAACAGCATTAATTTCATTTTCAAAAATTTGAGTTCCTCCCTTTATTAAACTTTTTATTTGGGTTATTTTCTTACTATAAATAATGTCTTTCAAACTGACAAGGAACCTGCCACCACTAATTTGGCAGTATTGTTCCAATTTTCTTCCTAACTGATCACTTTAAAAAGTCAATATAAATTTATAATTATCTTCCTACAGATCTTCTATTAACGAAGCTTGACATAATAAAGTTCTTTATATTACTGTTGATGTTCGAGGAGATAATGTACATTTCTCAAAATTTAGAAGCATTGTGTTTTTCAATTTATTTATCTGCTCAGCAAATGCTTGAAAAAACTTTTTATCATTAATAATAGCAGCATTTCGAAGATGGTTATTAAAAAACTGATTTTTTAAATTTGTAAATGTCCAGCTTTTATTGAAAAGTATCTTTATCTATTATAAGTATTATTATCTAAACAATCACGAAATAATGGTTTACTTGCTGCTGCTGTAGTTTCATAGAAGATAACTAAAGCAACTGACATTTTTCTTGTAGTTTTCAGGATAGACAACTTTGTTATTTATTTTTGGTGCTTTTTTATAAAAAAGTTTGACATAAAGATTTTTGTCAATATGAATACATTCAGCAACTTCAGGTATGTGTAGTTCATTTTGAATAATTTTATGGAACATGACACAATCATCAAATTTAGAAAATGAATATCCTGTTGGTGAATCAGCAACTGTTACAGAATTAAGATTTTTAATAACATCAATTGATATAAACTTCTGATATATATATCTTCTCGAATTTTTTAGTTGGTAATTTCCTTGGTATAGACATAACTGAAAGTAAAGTTGTTGCTATTCTATATATAGGGTATATTGTAGAAACAGGCTTCAAATTGTACAACAAACGAAATCTTTTTGGCGATGCTCCTTTGTGTATTAAAATTTTATCAAAATATTTTAAACAGATCACTAAATGACAGTCAAGGAATTTCTGTTCACTAATTCTAACCCACAACTTTTTCAAATCATCATCTTTTGGAAAACTAAAAACTGGGACCGTCATAATAATGAGTTAAAACCAACAACACAGTATTTATTAACTATTATTATAACTAATAACGGAATAAGTAGCCACAAATAACATTACAAAGTTTGGTGAAGTTTAATAGAGATGGCTATTAATCCAACGACAAAATTTTTATCCAGCGCCAGATTTACTTACTTAAAATTTATAGCGCAATAATTAAAATATTTTGAAAAAGTTTGTCCATTTGATGGAATATACGTTTTTTAAACTGGCCTTCTATTATTTTTTTTGATTTAAGTAGAATAGAAGGCCGTGTATTTAAGTAGGCCTTGGGGCGATTTAATTTAAATGTAAAAAATATTTGAGTCATAAACAAAATGTTTTATTAATAAAATGGCCGCCAAGTGTCCATAAAACTAACAGTTATTGGTTTAATGAGAAGGACGTACAAAATACCTTAAAAATATTCAAAATCACTAAAATACCGATTGTTTTTATTTTTTTG